TATTTTTATGTCGGGTATAATAGTCTAAAGTTTTGAAAATAATATATAGTTGCATCGACAGACTATAATTATAATGTTTTTAAAAACCTTTGTGTGCAATTTTACAAGCAAAATATATTCAGATATTAAAATATATCCAAATCTGATTATATTGTGATCTAATATGCTTTCCATTATATCTGTCGTCCAAATTTCTTTGATAAGTTATTGCTATACTGGGTGTTACGCTCTCAGTGCTGGATATACTCCATTTATTTTACTGTATATTTAATTGTAACAGTACGGATCATAATATTTTTATAACCTAAGCATTTTGCGAAATCAAAAGTTTAATGTTGTACACAATGTACATATTCTTTTTCAAATGTTTGTGTATGTCTACTTGCAGCAAGCAACAATTAAATAATTCGATTGTTTTCCAACCTATACATGCAACTTTGCACTGATTATATAATTTAGACTTTAGCCAAGCCAGTATATTATGTGATCTTAGAAGCTTGAAACAACCTTATTTTTGCTCATATAAATTTCTTCATTTGGTTGTTATGTCGGTTGTTACACTCTCAGTAGTTTCTACGAACACAATCTATTCATTTTTGTTTATGTCTATTTGTAACAACCAACAAATAATACCTAGGGCCTGTAATTTAACCAACATTTTGAAATGAAAAGACTCTTTTTAATTTTTTGGCCCTTTTGTAATTTTAGAATAATTTAAACAGCCTTTTTCCATCCAGTTCCTTTCTCAATTTTTTTTTTCGGCGCTGTTATGTCGGTCATTACACTCACGACTCACGGTGCCATGTTGGACACGATCTATTCATTTTTGTGTATCCCTATTTAAGTCTACAAATATCTTTGTTTTGCAATCTGGGTCTACGATTGTACAAGCAAACTTACAAGCCTCTATTAGGGCCCGGTGGGTTTTTTTTAGAAGGTCCAGGTAGAAACAGCCCAATTCCTTCTTTTTTAATCCAAAGTTCCTTGGTGCGCAACTTGCACACGGGACCTCCGAGATTTTTCGCCATTGTCCGAGAAGACTAGGTGTAGATCTTTCCTACCAGAAGATCAGGGGAGTGGCTGAAAGACAGCAGTAAGAAGGAACCAAGGAGAATCAGTAGAAAGGCTGCAGAAAGAGTCAGGGGCCCAGAGGAGGGGGCAAAGGAGGTGAGGGGGTGGGGCAGAAAATGGAGATGAAAGCAGACAACAGAACATTGTTAGAGGGCAGGAAAGGAGGTGAAAGGAGACAATTTAGAGAAGAAAAAAATTCGTCGCTATCCGGGCTCGCCCGAGACCTTTGAAAGAGAGGCGAGCCCCTTAACTTCTGGGCCACGGGAGACTAGACTCTAGCCAAGCCAACCCCCCCACAAATTGTTATTTTTGTTTGTCACAATTTTAAAACATCTTTCTCTTGTCAATTCTGTCTGACTACTAGATCTAGTATGTATACAGTAGTCTCCGCCTAAACGCACGCCATACAAAAGCACGCTCCGCTCAAACACACGCTTTCGTCATCTGACGGGGTTTTTTTTTACATGTACTATAAAATTTAGACGTACAAACGCACGGTCACTCCCTCTAAACGCACGCTCCGATCCGCAAAACACGCCGATAAGTTAAGCTTGGCAAGGGGAAATTTTCACAACCTGCACAGCCTGCATAAGATAAGCCTAGAATTTACAAGAAAACCGGATAATTGGTGAGAGTGCCCCTCACGCCGTGCAAAGAGAGTGATGGACAGCGTTTTCACACCCTACTTTCCACTGACGCATAGGCCTAGGTCTCGGTCTAGGGCTGGTCGGTTAAATGTTTGGGGGGGGGGGGGGGGTTGGGGGGACGCTTTTTGATTGGTCACTGGAAATGTATCTTTGAGAGAAGGTTTCTGAGTCATTGGTGTTTTGAGTTTGAGTGACTACGAGTAATGTTTAGTTAGATCTAGGTCTGATGCGCGACAAGCGTAAAACACTAGATAGACAGTCCTCTATTATAGGATTAAAGATTAGCCAAGTAAGCCTAATCTGCTGCGCTCGAATAACTTATAACGTACTTGTTCAATGAGAAAATGTTTCTCGAGAATGATTCTGCATGAATTTGCGGTCGGGGTGGTCGCTTGGAAAGCCACGTGGCCGGTCCGTCGTCTCTATGACTATATGACCAACAGTTTACTCTTAGGCTATCTGTTCCCGACGTTTATAAATTATAGTGCATATCTACGCCTTTACTTTGTATTCATACCCCCTATCGGGGAATCCTTCACAAAACAGTCACGTGTCGTCACATTATCTGCCAAAATGACTCCATCCTCCAAGGGAGATCACTAGAGTAATAAGGAATTGAAATGACTGCGTCCCTTCCACTTCCTCCCCTTGCTAAGGTTCATGTAAACGCACGCTCCGTATAAACACATGCTGAGGAGCCCTCCCGAGCACCGTGCGTTTAGGCGGAGACTACTGTAGTATGGACAATGGTGTAATGATTAGACTCTTGGCCCTGGCCTTTCAGACTAAAGAATCCAGGTGAAAATATTACATGTTATGTATGAGTGCAATTAAATTGTTAAAACCAGTAAAACCATGAGTATTTTTCCAATATAAAGGAGCGGATTTGCTACTCACCTCTCCTGCCAATATATGGTTGGACTTAAACAACTCTTGTCCTTATTTAATTTTCTGGTGAAACAGGGATGTACTTTTTTTTATTAACTACTTTTGCCATGGCAATTTTGTTAGAAACCATAGCAACAGCAAAGGTTACAATAAAAACACTGACCAAAACAATGCAAAGAGCCACAACATAAACATTTTTAACATCCTCTGCCTAGGCCATAAATCCAGCTCGTATAAGTCTATACCCTCACCCTTTCTTCTCTTCACTCATTGGTGGTTCAACCACAGCGCGTTTGGCTCAGCCACAGTAGAAACAGTGGGCTCAGTGGCACTAGCTGTGTCCTACCTAATTCTGCTAATTCTGTCTAGTGCTCTACTTTTGCAATGGCAACGCTATTAACAATGTTCGATGAGCGTTCTCATTATCATAGTAAAGAGATGATAATCTTGACTCCACTTAGATCTAGTCTTTAAATAGCTTATGCTCAGACAGTCCTTTGGATCATAGATGCTTTAATTAAAAACATCTCTAGACCCTGACATCATATCTCTCTGTGCATTTTTCTAGAACTTTAATAAATAACTGCCCCTCCACACCATCAAACTGTCAGTTTCAAGGGCAAAGTAAGTGAAATTTTTGGTCTTAATAATGAAAACACAAAACAACCACAAATGATTTTGCTTTTCTTTACTTTGTCCTTTATCATGGCTGGGCACAACATATCACTGATTTCAGGTTTACACTCTTTATAACAATCATAATGTATACAGTAATGGAAGAAAGTTCAATATATGATGCAGAACACCCCCCCTCCCCCCTCATCAAAATATGTTAATGGAAATTAAAGCATTCAACAATATCAGTCAAAAAGCATAATGCCATCTATCAAAATGCAAGAAATAGTTATCCACTGGAATCTGCTTAAATGGAATGAAAATAAAATTCCCATTTTTTTCCCTTCTATTTGAGCAACCTCTCAAAAATGAAAACCTGTCAACACCAAAAATGAAAACATGTCAACACCAAAAAAAAAAAATTAACAGTCCCGCAGATTTGAGTTTATTAAGCGAACTCCACTGTACTTTATTTACAAAGCCTAGTATTATTATTACAACCATTACAATATTTAATTGGGAACATCGTAATTTCTGATAATTTGTTTTTAATAATGAATCAGTACAATATTTGCCATATTCTGCCCGAACAAATTAGTGTCGGGTAATAGCAATGCTGATAAAAAATCAGAAGTAGAAGAACACTATACCAGACCATCCACAAACCATCCACTTAGAACACAATGATCTAAAGTGCTGAAAATTCTAGGCATTTTCATATATCCACAAATCCGCATGTTTTGAAATAGGTTTACAACCAAACAAAGAAAGGCACCATACATAGAGTAAAGAGGGACCCATATTAGTGACACATTGTACATCCATGCCCCCACACACACACATTCATTCATTGCATTCTATTTTGTGATTATTTACATTATCCTGATCATTATCACTAGACAATAGATCATACAAAACACATTGTCTCCCATTCAGCCATCACCATTTAACTTTTAAGATTCTTCTTCCTTCACCATAAACAAAAATTAATAATAACAATTAACTATCATGAAAACTGTACAAAAACAAGAGTCACGAGATTTTCAGCTTTATCACACTTAGAATACAGAGTATTATTCTGGCTACACAATTCAGAAGTTGTTCAAAACTACACAGAAGAAACATACTATGACAAAACATCCACCCACGTAAGTTTAGTTCTATTTTGATCCACAAGTAAGAGTAAATCCCTCATACTAAACAACAGAATGTCAGCTGTTCCATATGAATATTTAAAAAATTGTTATTATAAAGACTAAAAAAATTCAGACTAGCAGGTGTCACATCCTGACAAAGAGTCTGACTAGAATAGTTTCACGTTATTGCTGCTAGCTCAAAGTTACAATTGCCTGATTTGAGAACAAACTTACTGAAAACTATACAGTTGCCAATATAATGGAAAAAAATTATTAAAAATTTTGACTAACAGCCAAAAAGAAAAGTAGACATCACATACAAATGAGGGGCAAGAACTGCCATTATTAAAGAAACAGAAAATTGTTAACACTTGTGTATAATTTTCAGAAAAGTGGCAGTGAAATCCCTGTAAACATAGAGTATGTTAACTGCATATTAAATGATTCTCTCTGATTCATTGAAACAGTATGTGCATCAAACAAGACCCTCTTGTTAAATATTGTCCAATACCTTACTGAGGTCAATCCAAACTTCTACAGCCTTAGCTGCATCTTTCATTCTTCCTCAAGAAGGGCAAGTCACATGAGCAACTATAATACAAAGAAGAAAATCTTGACCATTCCCTGTCTCTGAATTCAAGAAACTTCCAAGCATTGTAATGAAGAAACTGGGTTATATATACAAAAAAGTTTTCAGATGCTACAACCACGAGAATACCCCTATGATCTCTGCTGTCAACTGTCACCAGAACCACCAAGAAACTGCTCCAACATGTAATCAGCGGCCAGTCCAGGAGTGACCAAAGCTCTGGTCACCAGATTCTCCATCTCTGGCAAAAGGCGTTGTATATGTGGTTGACGTTCAAATCGGCCCATGATGTGGTCACGGATGTGACTACGGAACCAGAGATTCAGCTGTTTCTCTCTGCGGGCAGTGAGTTCACCCTCAGCCAAGGTCAGATTCTTGAACTCTTTCAAAGTTTCCCACAATTCTGGGATGCCAGACTTGTCCAGTGACGAAATACGAGTTACCTGACATGTAAAAATGTAGAGGAAAAGTTTGTTTTATCAATGACAAATCAAACATTAAAAGCCATCTAAAAAGCATTGCTAAACATAAAAAAGATCTGACATCATAATTTACAAAAAGAACAAATAGCTTTTATCCTTTACCAAATGCAGGGCACCATGGTGAAATCATGACGCTTCTCAAAATAATGAAATCTATGAAATTGACATTTTTCTGATCATTGGACATTTAATGAATTTTTTTGTGGGGGGGGAGGGGAGCTGTAAACATTTTCCGCCTATTCAAAAACATGTTTCTTGTGTGGATTTTACTGAAAAATATTGCTCAGGGGAACATAATGTAAATTTGCAACTTTCAAGAACACTCAAGCTTTAGAGGTCATCTAATTTTGGTGGCTATTTTCTCGTTAATGTTACCTATGAAACCAGCCCCCCCCCCCCCATCTTCAACCACAAATATGTCCCAGTGGTTTTATCCAAAAAAAATATGAAATTATGTAAACTCAGCCCAAAAATGTGAAGTTATGCAATTTTGTTAAATAATCAGAAATTATGCCAAAAATGATCAAATTTTGCTTATTATTATGCAGGGTGCATAAAACCACAGGGACAGACAAATATCTCGATTTCAATTCAAGAAAGATGGCTATTTTTTCATCACAAGGGTAGCCCTACACACTACATAGTGCACACAGCACCCACTCCACACCTGAACAGTAATAATCTCCCTTTCCCCCACACATGACTGCCAGCCTGTGATAAGATAAGATAAGATAGATAGTACTTGATCATCACATGTAGAATGCCTGACCGCCATCTCACCAGTTTTAGACAAAGGAAATAACTCATTATAGTATTGTCCTTCATTTAGTTATGGCAGAACAATTTTCCCTTGGTGCAGGAGGACAGCATTAAAACCCCCTTATACTGCCAGCCCTGCGATACTTCCAGCTCAACACTCACTCAAAAGTTGAGGGAATAACGAAGATTGACCGTACACCTAAATTAGAGATTAAATTTAAGAGTACTACTACTGCAGAATACAAACTAGCGCATCATCTTATGAAAGCGAAAATACCCTGTACCGTACCTTTGGCTTCCACACTTTAGACCTGGGTCGCATAAATTTCAGAGCACTTGTATACTCCGCCTGAATCCTTCTCGCTGCTGGCACTAGGTCACCGTCACTTTTGTTCACAACCACATAGTCAGCCACTTCCACGATGCCCTTCTTTATACCTGCACAGAATCATGAAAAATTGTCTATTAAGACCAGCACTCAATTGTTCATTTTTTCCCCTCCATGTAAACATGAGCACGTTAAAATACAAACACCTTTGAGGGTGAGCACATGTTTGTGTGTTGAAAAGATGACTGAACCTATTCAAAACAAATATGTCATGCCAGAAGAAGAGGGTGCCAGAGAGGTGGTCAACACAGCCTCAGTATTCACACTGCTGGGGCAAATAGGCTTCAAAGGCCAGAAAAGAAGGCAGCAACCAAGCGCATTTCAGAAAGGACAGAGAAAAGTACGAGCTGGCTGTGGACAAAAGAGAATAAGAGCTGGGCTGCTAAATATAGAACTGAAAGTAGATAAAGAATTCCAAAAAAGTTTAGCATCTTCGCATTTGCTATTTCCACTGGAGTCTACGTGGCATTGCACGAACATTCGCGGGCTAAAGATCCGGAGATGCCCCAAACCTTGAGGGTTTGATCCTCGATCAGTGCCAATGAAAACAAAACAAAAAAACCCAGCAGGAGATCACCTGGGAGTCATGACCTGAGTGTGACCCAGCCCCCTTAGAGTGTCAGTTAGTTAGGACCGAAAAACTTGCTTGAAGGGGTTCTTCCACAGAATATCTCTTGCTGTCCGCTCGCCCTACGAGTTTTCTCCCACACTATGTCAGAGATTACATTTGTTCTCTAAATACAGGGTGATTAATAGAGAATGCGCCAAAATCATCATGAGATATTTCAAAAATAAAAAAACAAAAATCTTTAGCTTGGACACATGTGTTGTACATTCATTCAAGTTTTTATTTCATGTTATAAAAGTGCTCAATCTGGCCACCAAGGGCAGCATCAACCGATATGAGAATTCCTCCCAAACGTGCCTCCGAATGTCTCAGGCCACATGTTGATTGTAGCTGCCGGTGGTGCCCACACTGAACACCTGTAAAATATGAAATAAAAACTTGAAGGTCTGTAAAACACATGTGTCCAAGCCGGAGTTTTCTGTTGGTTTCGTTTTTGAAATACTGAGTGATGATTTTGGTGTAATATTTTTTAATCACCCTGTATTATAATATATATATATAGTAAAACCCCGATAACATGAACTTCATGTGGCAGTCGTTATTACAAACACATTCAAATTATCAACACTTGCAGCTACTGAACTTATTCATCACAACTCTAAGACTGATGGAGAAAAACCCAGAAAAATTCAAGTAGTTTCAAACAATGGTGTAACGTCTTGTTTACGTACACATTTACCTGACCAACTCTAAATTCATCATAACCCTGAGAATGATGAAAAACAAACAAAAAATACTCAAATTGTAAGAAAAATCTTTGCGTAATGCCTTACCCTGCAACTCATCACCCCCTGCAGGAGGGATCAATAGACAGAACATATCTACCATGTCAGCCACTGCAAACTCGGACTGGCCCACACCTGGAGGATAAGGGAGGGATATAATTCATATTATTTTAGTCACAAAAATATTGTAACAGTAGATCAGATACAAAACATTATCCAAGGCATTGTCCTTTATTTCTGTTGACCATATGTCACAACATGCATGGTGGAATCAGGAGCTCGTCAATTTTTTAACTTATGGAGGTACCGGTATCCTCTTACAGGTTGTTCATTTGACTTACTTTTGAGGAAAAAAATACCCGTATATATATCTTGAACAGACGTCGAGATATTAGCCTTTGAAGGAGATGGGTGTCGTCGGGTGACAAAGGCAAATGGCTGCCAAAGTTTGGTGAACGTTAAAGCTTGAGAGTGCATGGAAACTGCTAATTTACATTTTGTGTCCTTGATCAACTTTTTTCATAAAATCCACACAGAAATGTGTTTAAAAAAAGGACATAAAAGATGTTAACCCCCCCAAAAATCTGTAAAAATTGCCCAACCAGCAGGAAAAAAAGCTGGTTTCTTTAATTTCCTTATTTTGACAAGAGCCTCATTTAACCACGATGCCACATATCATCAATGTCTGACTCTAGCCCTCTACCCACCAAATTAGATCAAATACTTTGTTTGAGAAAAAAAACGTAATCTATTTTTTTAGGAACTTCAAAATTGCTCAAAATTTTGGACAGAATGTTCTTTTTAATTAATTAATTAATAGAATCACCCATTGTAATTCTGATCATGAATAGAATTCTTTGAAGTAAAATGAAGTGTTTTACCTAATTTGGGGGATGCGCAGTAAGATTTGGATATCAACAATATATTCTGGCCTACAAATCAAGGTTCTTTTGTTTTGGTGAGTATACTACAAATTCAAATTTGGAAAAATCAATAGAAAAAGATTTATAAAAAACTGTAATTCAGCAAACCTGAACTTTCTGGAAAAAAAGTCAGCTCCTGCTTAAGTAAAAGTGAAATTTCTTTTACACTCTCCAAATGGCAATCAAGTTACACTAACTACTAACCGGTAATTTTTCTACGATATTACAGGCTAAGTTGCAAGCAGTATTTAAGTTTTTGACTTTGTCCCATCCTCTTCTGTAAGAAGGCATTTTTTAGCAGTCCATAACTGTCTTTTAGAAAATAAGATAATTTACTGAATCAAAGTCAAAGGAACTTTCAAAATAAAATGTAAAAATTAACATGTGCGTGATGTCAGCTTTTCCAATCTCACCAATTCAGTTACAGATCAATTTACTCACCAACAGTCTCCACTAGTATGACATCGAAGCCACCTCCTTCACACAACACGATGGCTTCATTAGTAGTCCTTGTCACACCCCCGAGAGTGCCCGCTGAAGGTGATGGGCGAATGTAAGCAGACATGTCACGAGACAGCTCTGGCATTCTGGTTTTGTCTCCAAGCAAAGATCCTGAGAGACAGAGCCGTTGGTGTAAGGTAAGGGACATTTTCACAAAGAACAAAAATAAAGTTTTACATCTCTTTTTTTCATAATCCCTTAGATTATAGCGTTTTGTGTAGTTACTTTATTCAAAGTAAAATAGAGGCACCTTTATAAACAATATACGCTGGCTCATAAACTACTTAAAAGCAACTGAAAGTTAAACTAGCAACATCCATATGGCAATACTCCTACTTTGATAACTTCGTCAAAGTACAGTAAAATCTTGTTGACAGTGCCATAAAAATCAGTGTCTCTGAGGGATGAAGAACCAACAGAAGAGTACCCAAAATAATTTTCCTCAGGAATGTCAAAGAAGAAGAAGAAAAGAACAAGGAGGAGGAGAGGAGAAAAAGAAAAACAAGAACAAGAAGAACAAAAACAAAAAGAAAAAGAACAGTTGGGCTCAGTTCAAACCCTGTCATTAGCCCAATGTCGAGTAGTTGGTAAATACACTTTACCTGAATTTCCCTCACTTCACCCAGGTGGGAACAGGTACCCAGATATAAACAGTGAAAGATCATGCCAACTTGTCCAAGAATATTTTTTAATGTTCCAGGGTCTGCTGGGTTAATTATACAGATTATAATATAAAGTGCATAGAGCTTGTTGCTGAGTAGGGATATGTGCTATACAATAAATGCTATTCATCATTACTATTCTATTATTATCAAATATATTTTATATTATTCTAATGTAACATCAGTATACCTCCTGTTGTGGAGGAAGATGGGTCCACTGCCAAGACTGCAACTCTATGGCCAATGCTTGTTAGGTGTTTACCAAATACTTCAATGAAAGTACTCTTGCCTGCACCAGGAGGGCCTGATAAACCTTAAAAAAAAAGACATTGAAAACAGATGTCATTAATTTTGTGTGCGCATTGATTATATGAAGAGTTCTCTTAATTTGATAACTTCATCAAAATACAGTCTAACCTCATACTGCCCCCCTCCCCCCCCCCCCCCTACTGACAGCCCCGCTTACTGTCAGGTTTTGCCAATGTACGAATTGAAGCGCCTTATAAACATAGTAATTACACTTTCACACCCCTATTCGCTAATAGCTTGAGTTGTACGGTCTTTTTAACAAACATAAATTTGCCCTACACTACCGCCATTGAGCTGACCACTAGAGGTAACACTTTGCACAGCGCACAACACCCATTGGTCGGCTACTTGATAATCAGTCTCCCACGAGAATGACATAGAGATAGAGAGGGAAAAGACTCGGCACTGAATAAATGTGCATGTATATTATATCACCAACAAAAAGACACTTTTCAAACACAAACACAGATCGCATGGCAGAATCATTGTGTTCCTTGACATTGGACAGTCGGGGCCATACAACAGAGGAACCCCATTGAACCCCTTGCCCCGCTGTTCTGCCAACTTCAAGCTCGTCCCAAGGACGGCGGACTAACGAGGCTTGACTGTAGTATCCAAAACTTTCACTCTCCAAAAATTCTTTAGCTCAAAGCAAATCTCTTTGCAGCACACCAAAGCAAAATCCACTTTGAAAAACATGACAAAGCAATGCCACAGATGGGAACTAATACAGTGGCAAAGATTTACACAAACTTCCAAGAATTTTCAGTCATATCAATGAATTTTTTGCATTCGTTAAAGCTGTTAGCACACACTCAACTTACCTATTCTGAAAGATCTTGGACCCTTCAAATGGTGCTGGTCATGTTCCCTCATATGTGAGAGGACTTTAGTCAACAAAAGCTGTGCTTGTTTCTGCCTCTGCGGATGTGTCGATTCAACCAACGTGATCGCTTTAGCCAGAGAGGCTCTGTCCTGGGCGATGAGCCTCTGGAACAAGGACTCTATTGCACCAGGGTTTTTAACCTCACCTAACAGATTGTTCACATCAAGCGAAGATGCGCTGGCACCTCCATAACGACTTGAGAGACACACCGAATGTGTGAGGAAGCCTTGAACATTATTCACTGTGGTGATGAGTGGACATAAATGAAATAAAGAGCTCTTTTGAAAAAGAAAAGTGTTGTACAAACACGTCTTAACCGATGAGACAATGGGACGTTGTGAAAGGACACTTGAGGCAACAAATCTTGAACACAGCATTCTGTTATAACTCAGAGTACTTCTGCTAGCCCACTGATAGTGGAAAGCACACACTTTCACAGAATGCCTCATATAAAACATCTTGATGAAATGAGAAGTCCTCTTCACATGTAAGGCATGAGGACCTGAAAGTAGAATGTTAAAAAGATTAATTCTTAAAAAATAAAATTGATCTTTGCTATTTAAGTCTTGTAATAAACAGAAATCTGATATTTCTAACAAATTTCAAGAAAAAATATATAATCTAAATTTACAAGAAAGAAACAGTAGCATTTGCACTGTCAAAAAAAAAATACTGAAAATAATTCCCAATCTAAATTGGGCGTCATCTTGTTTGACATCAGACCAGGATACCCCTCCAATCACGTGACTACATCTAACGAAGTGGCTATTCAGACTTGAGTCTGAACAGCCACTGGAGGCTATTCAGACTCAAATTCCAGCGCGCACACGCAATCACCGGTTGTACCGCACTTTTTTGTCTCTGGCCAGGTCTAGACTCAAGTTCGAATAGTCTCCCGTTGCTATTCGGTTAAACTACTGTTAGTCACACTGCGTTACGCTACTACAATGGGATCAAAACATAAAATTCATAATCAGTCCTAATAAGACAGCCCCCCCCCCCTCCCCTTTCTCTCACACTTTTCCTCTCTCCATCTTACTTCTCCAGGCCCGCCCTACCACCGCCATCCCTTTTTTTTTGCATATACAGTCGAACCTGCCCTGACGGCCACCTCTATAAGACGGCCACTTTCCATTCCCCCCTTGCGTTTTTTCTATACAATTTAACTGTGTAAAACGGGCACCTGTCCAACGCGGCCGTGGCCACCACATTTTAGCACACAACCCTATCACACTAAGCAATAGCACCTGTCTTAGACGGCCACCTTAGTGACTCCATTACGTTTTGTTATAAATTTTGCATTGGCCCCTGGCGTTGTGGGAGAGTCGTCATAATCCAACCACTTGTCCTTGTTCTGGTAGTCCCTCCAACAGACCATGTTGCGTAGGCCCCTCCCACTGTTGACCAAGAGGTACCAATTTTCAGCTGCTGGTGAGGTAGGCGTGTGACCCCTCATAACCCATAAGCCCCTCCCAGAACTCATACACAAATCGTAAGTGAGAGATGAGCGGTCACTGTTTACCCAGTCTGTAACAAAGTAACAATGGACGTCAACATGAACTTGCAACAGAAGTGTCGCTCGTTCTCCGAGTGGTGGCGACCCATGTGTTTGTTTTAAGGGACCCTTGTTTTAACATGGCACTCGGTCTTCCTCGTCTGATACATTTTGTTTTATTGTCACCCTTGCATAAAATCAGAAACAAAATAAAAAAATAACAAACAAAATACAAACTAACACACCAACAACAACAATGCGGCTACTTTCGATTGGGACTTCAGATGGGAATGGTTTCTTTTCTTCATCTTGATCAGTCCTTCCTAAGACGGCCACTTTTCTTCTTGACAATGGGTGGCCGTCTTACATAGGTTTGACAGTAAATCTTTTTTATATTCCTTCCCATACCGTTGCCCACTACCCAGCCCGACTATTATAGTATCCTTTGTAAAGAAAAGACCACAGTTTGCGCTGGGTCACTACGTCGGCGTCCATTTGTTGTAAGTTCCTTGGCCAGATTGTAGAAACCGAGGAAGGCCAAGGTCGAATTGTTTGTCTGTTTCACATGCAGTACACCTCCTAGAGACTGCGCACGCCAATTGGAGTCCGAATAGCCGCAGCCTACATCTAAAGTCAACCGCATGGCACCAAAGATGGAAGTGTCTATGTACGAGGGGATATCAAAAAGTTTTTTACCTGAGTATGAAGGAGTGGAGCTACAAACTTGAAATTTGGTATGTAGACACTTATTTCTCATGTAGTAAACAGCAGCAAGAACACATTTTTTCCTGTGATTAATGACCTTGAAAAGTCCTTCAGAAAAAAATGATCAACTTTGCCAGATGAATTCTGCCCTTTGGCTTTTTTGGGGGGTGGAAGAGATGGTGTTTTCCATTGCATTGAAGCAGATTTTGACTCTTGGTCGAAGTGATAGACCCAGCTTTCATCCATAGTTACTAAACGGTCAAAAAAGTTGTCAGGACCTTCATCAATCATTTGTGGCTGTATTGTGCTCTTTGTCCCTTTTGATGAGGGGTAAGGAGAGGGGCACCCATCTTGCAGACACTTTCGACATACTCAAATGGTCATAAAAAATTGTCTCAACAGATCCATAGCTAAAGTCAGTTTCAGCACAAAGTAGTCCGAGAGTAACGTGCCTGTCATTCAGCACAATCTTCTTGAATGTTGAAACATTGTCTTCAGTCACGGCTGAGACAGGGCGACCTTCTCGAGGGTTGTCTTCAATGGACATGTTACCACATTTGAATCGCTTGTACCAATATTTGACCACACCATAGCGAGGGCAGATATCTCCATACACTACTGAAATTTCATCGTGAACAGACCATGGTTTTTTTTCATTGGAGATGAAGGAACTTTATCTTTTTTATCACAGCTCTCATTTCAATTTTCCCCATCTTGTGAACAAAATTGAAAAGTGCTAATCATGCTTTCAAGGGTGATGTTAAACTACCTGCTGTACAACCTGAACTAACCATCGGAAATTCCCAATTATTGGTGTGCATTCTTAGTTAGATGTATATGGAGCCTGTTCAAATTTCAAGTTTGTAGCTCCACTCTTTCATACTTAGGTAAAAAACTTATTGATACCCCCTCGTATATACAAGCTTAATCTACCTCTCGTTGTTGGAGTTCTGATGGCCGAATGGACAGCGTGTCTGCGTTTGAAGTCATGCAATTATTTAATGAGCATGGGATCGAATCTCGGTCTCGGAAGGTTTTTTTTTCTTTTTTTTTTTCTCTTCTCCTCCCGGCTAACCGACAGTTTGTCCCAAAAATTATAATTTGTTGGTTTGTAGTATAGGTTTTTTAAAATTAATGTATATTATTAGTGATAAAGCATGAAGGAGGGGGGTGGGGGGTAATTCGCCGGCGTCTTTACAGCAGTTTTCGTGGGGTTTATTGTTTTTGCGTTTACTGTGTGTTTCAATTTCAAGCATCAGCGTTCTTAATTTTACTGTTCTGAGCATCAACCATCTAGATCTAAGCGATCTTCCATCATGTCCAAGTACTAGGAATTCCGAAACGTTATTATTTATATACTGAAAATAGAGAAAACATGTCATTAATGCGGTACCTTGACGGCTTTCTTAAAATAGTCTGTGCGTATCCAAGGAAGTGATGACATCACATTACTAAAATTAGCAGCCAATCAGGAAGATGTGTCGTTCTATGTTTAACGGCATGTGGTTTTCCCCTTGAAAAATTCTGATCAAGGGTGTTAACAAAAAAAAAGCTATATATTTAAATCAAATACGCTGAAATTTAGCTGTAGCATACACCAAAACGTCTGGAAATGAAAGTACTCTTATAAAAAGTGCATTTTTTTTTACAGGGAAATTTATTTTTATGTTACGATTCAGTAGTATTACAAAACGGATCTAAAAACCAATTCAATAGGCCTATAAAGCCCTATATTATACTATAATAATAGGCTATAGGAAACTGACCACTAAACTAAATCTAGCCTAGCATTATGTGTCCCTGTGGATCCAAAATTGTGCCCGGTGAAGCACGAACTGACCTGTACTGAGTTACGAAGGGGTTAAATGGTTAATTGTTATTCTATAATAAATATATTGGCTTCTCTTTTGAATTTTGAGTTTTTGAACGGACGTTGACGTTGGTTCTACCACACACACACCACTCACCAACCCTGTCGAGTTCTTGTCTACTCCTCAGTTCGTGGCATCGTCCAGCTTTCTCTGTTGGTGTGACTATAACCAAACGAATATAGAAACAGAAATTATTAAAACTTTGAAGATATTGTCAATATTGGAGTCCAGCCCAGCAGTTCAGACTTCAGACCTTTGCAAGACCTTCGATTTCTTGTGTGTAATTTACAAATCGAAAGTACAAGTACAAGTAGTCAATGCCAGATTTCAAGGACATTGCACAATTTTAAACAGGTTTGGTGTAAGGATGAACAAATTCTTTTCAGGGAATAAAAGGGCTATCATATATCTAGATGAAGCTTGTTTGAGTGTCTCAGACTAATACAAAGTTCGTAGATCCACTTTTTGTTTAAAATGTATTGATTGCTAACTTCTTTATTGACTAGATCTACATCTAGATCTAGACCAACATGGCAACTTTGAAAAAGACGAACCAGGCTTAATATAGAATTTAATTATCTATTGGATTTTTAAAAAACTTAATATTTTTTTTTACTTTAAACAAAATAATGTTTTGATTCTATTGATAAGTATAAATCACAAAGACTAGTTTTGTATTGAAGACCTGAAAAAGAAATTAATTTTACTCCGATCCTAATGCTGTTGTCATGAGATACGTTTATGGTTACATCCGGCTTTGAGTTCAAATAGGATTGATATCAGTGTCTAAGTTGTGAAATATCAACACTGATAATTTAGTTAATCTGAAAATGTCTGGACTGTCTAGAGAAGTGCTTAAGTGGCTGCAAAGCCTCGATTTAACTTGGCAAATTAAAAATCCCAAGTGGTGAGGGTGTTTTTCATCTGTTATTTACTTTGACGAGTTTGTTGTTGTAAATTTAGATTCTTAGATTAGATTCTAAACTAATGATTGTCTAATATTAGTTATTTTTTAAAAGGTAGATCTAGATCTAGGTCTAGATTTAGATCTAGATTCTAGATCTAGATTAGTTCTATAATATATAACTTATACAATAAACAGTGCAGCCTAGCATTCGTATAACAAAATTGACAGGACACAGAAATTTTTTAATTGTGTGTAAATTTCGCTATGTAGCCTACAATGATTTAAATAAATACAAAGGGATCTTCTACATGCATGGTGTAAAAAAAAAAAAAAAAATCTAGATCTAGGGTCTGGAAAGTGATTTGCTGTGCATGTTTCGCTAGGTGCATGTTCACTCTTTGTTATGTGCATGCTAGACTGTAGTTGATACAGTACAGAGATGGGCCTTCTCGTCATATATCCTCTTGTTTCGACTGTTTTGGTTTTAATTAACTTATTAAGCGCTCTAAAGTTTTAATTCATCTATAGTCAAATTATTGTGTGGAAGAGCTCATTTTAATTACTTGACAATGTCTTATTATTATGTCTTTTAGACACTTGGACAAACCAATATAAAGATTCTGCGGTCTACAGAGTAGGATCTGTTTGTTTTTGTTGGGTATTTTTTTTTTCGTGGCCTTTTAACATTTTATAAAAGTATAAGTAAGTTTTGGGTTTTTATTGCGGCCTTTCAACATTATATATACCAATCAAGCTAACCTTTTAAATATATTAGAAATCCTATATACCGGGTATATTATATATAGCAATACGGCACTCGCCCCGCGTGGCAGTGCGAAAACGAGGTAGACTCGCGCGAGACAGGGCCCTGGGTTAACTGAGAACATGCTTATTTAAAGCATTTTTCTTTGCGTCAGCCAGGCCTATGTATCATACATCAATACACGCAGGAGAAATTGATACCTTCACTGAAAAAATTTTTTCTCCCATATCTTCAGCAACAGTCGAGATATTATCAAAGAAAGAGGATTGGTCGGTAACAAAACCGAAAAAGCAGCTAGAATGGCACAGTGATTTCTGACTCTCCTAATTCAGAAGGTGCGGAACCATCTAAATATTAACCAAAGGTCCCCAAATTTGGTAACCAATGAGAAGAAAGATGGATCTAGCCTCCGCAGATTTTTATGTCTTCACCAAGCTAAAAACAATTAGAAAGTTTCGAGGTGGTTCCTTTGAGGAGATGGTTTTTGAAAATGTGTGGTCGATTAATCCATGGAATGCTCCTGCATCATCTCAGACAGGCTGATTTTTATAATAGGCCTCGATCTTAGAAACTATTTTGTGAAATCAGCCTTGAAGCAATTGCATTTTGAAAAAAATTACGTCGACGTTGTTCCCATTTTTCGCGTGGCCAAAAAGCCTGAAAGGGAAACACTGCCTGACGCGGGAAACGCGTGCCGCGAGACATGTAAGCTTGCCACCATCTCTCTGTGACATCACGGCTGCGTTGAAGCGTAGCCACTGATTGGACAGTTATTTTGATCAGCCTGAATACCTCGGAAAACACCGTACTCATAGACATGGACATAATGCAGGTTTCTTTCTATTTGCCATCACAAATATTTGGGCTTAATTCCGCGAATTTAGTGCTGATATGGACTTTAAGATAACTGCATATTATATTCTTCCAATATTTACAATGTTTTTGACGGAAAAGCAGAATGAAGATTACTCAGGTAGATATCCATGGATTTATGCATACATTATGTGTAGGCCTATTATATACTTACTCATAATAATGATCGATAAAGCAGAAGAACAATTACAGAATACACATACTTCAAATAGGAATGAATGCAATATATTAGTTCTAAGGCATATATATATATATGCTAAGATAACTGTAATTGATTAGTTATGTGCATAATCAGTTTGAGTTATTTGCATATATCATAGTTTCAATTTTTTTATTTTTTTAAAAGAAACTGAGCTTGATATTATTGATTAACCTGTTAGTTTCCTACTCTTTGAGCTGTTCGGTTACAATTTGGTTAATTAATCATGCGCATATATATTCAAATGAGTGCATAATCAAACATTTAAAACCTTATTTGTCGCATTTTCTAATTCGTCTCTTTGTTAACACATATTTGCATACATCCACATGTAACAAAATGGACATATATGTCTATTATTAAGCCATATATAGGCTTATTTTTTTATAATTATGCATATTTAATTATTAATTTGCATATAATTAACAAGGTATGGAGATTACAACTTAAATTCGTCCATTTTCTACTTTGTTTCCCCAAAAACATAAGCTCACCGATTTTTAGCTCATTCCATTCATAAATGTGAAAGTTATGGATTTTCAATTTTCTAGTGCCATTTGCCTTTCTTTATTCCTCTATAGGAATTTTCCCCAAAATACCCACAATTTCGGACATGTACACAGCCAGAACTTTTTTTATTTAGGGACCGATTTTGAAAAACTAAAAAGCATTTTACTTCTGGACTATTGATCTTTATACTTCTATACCTGTGATGTTTATAGGTTAGTGGTACCCATCTTTTAAAAAGCTGTGGTATTGCTATATTAATATTATATTACTGCCAATACACCATTTATATTAATGTGTGTGT